CTCTGCAACTGTTTAAAAGTTTACTATGACATTTAATAAAAACTAGAGAGTTCAAATTGATTTTTTTTATTAGAAAAAGTAATAAAGATTCATTACTTTGGAGGCATGTGTCAAGTGTCGATTATACCCCCCCGGCCTCTTTTTTGAAACCCAAAATATGGTCACCCTAGTCCTGATATACTTCGGGGAATTATTTTCCCGTAAATCACAGCTTTTTCCAAACAGACTCCTAGCTGTGTTCAGCAGTCTTCAGCTCTTCGGATTTTTTTACTGTTCTTTACTGTTGTAAACCACACCTCCGATGGCCAATCTGGAAAGGAGATAAACTTGTTATTCCACACTCTTATGTTGCACTACTCCGTTGTGTGCAAGATTTCTCCCGACGGTGTATTTTTTTTTTAATCTGCCTGCAGAATATACGCCTGCATCGATTAAACAACACGACGATCGTATTTTTGCACTTCTGTCCCACTGGCTCCTTCGCCAGCCTCCACTGGCAATGTGGACTTTAGCGAATGTCCATCCAGCCACATTCGAAACGCTTCCTCCAAAACAGGGTCACGGGGTTGGAGCCCATCCTGGCAGGCAACAGGAGCTGGGCAGCGTTCACTTGGATTGGGCGCCGGGGCATCGCACAGTAGGTTTCAGCGAACGAGAGACGCAAAAATGTACTGTACCTATCCTTACACTGGCCAGGTGTACTGATGCTTCATGGCATAAAAAGGGAATTTGAAAACATCATTTTAATGAATAAATACTGTTAGATGTAGTAGTATTAGATGTTTTAGTGTTAATATTTACAAGCCTTACTAATAAATATTTAAATATTTAAATTGAATGGCGACATCAGCGGCCTCTTGTCGTCGCCAGCTCGGAAGAGGGCGCTGTGCGAGTGGAGCTGCGATACGAAGCCGCAGCACGGCGCTGACACCGGAAGTAATAGTGGTGGGGCAGCGGATGTTGATGTTGTTGTGTTGACCTTCTGTGCTGTCATGGCGGAAAATCCTTGCTTGGCGACTTGATTTTTCATGTTTGTGCGATTATTCTCAGTAATACCTGATTTTGTGTCAGGTAAATCGTTCCTTCGATAGCGAGAGATGTTATAAAAATACCAAAGATTTACAGGGAATTGAACTTTTGTGATAGGTAGCTAAAACATAACGTGATCAAACTGGGATCTTCACAAAAGCGGCTTTTTTTGGTATGAATTAACAGCGTGCATTCACCCTGCATTCACAGATCAGGAGAAAGTGATACCTGGCCGATCAAAAATGGCAGAAACGTCCCTGTTCGAAAAACGCAACATGTCCAGTTTCGACAGAAGCGCTGATTTCTTGCTCACGGACGAGGAGAGCCTTCGTGCGGTAGAGCGCGCTGTCAAGGCAGCCATAGAGACGGTGCTGTACGTGGTGTCGAGGATAAGCGACAGTAAAATGCGGGAGTACCAGATCCGGGTGGCAGAGGCCGAGAAAGAGAACGAGCGGCTGCGGGCCCAGGGGGAGGCTGCGGTCCGGGAGCTGACGGACCTGCGCGTCCGCTTGCGGGCGCCTGAGCCGCCTCCTCTGTCGCACCCGGGCCACGCTACTGGCGGCGGGGAGTCCGGGATCTCCGAGGAGGTTTCCGTTGCGTCCCCGGAGGACCCGAGAGAAGAGGATTTGCGTGCAGACCGTGAAACAGCAGACTTGTGTCCCAGTGAGGAGGAGGAGGGAGGCACAGTTTCAGGTAGCTAACTTCACTATCACTATCGTTTTTAATGCTATGTTGGTGTGTTGTCCTCATGAATTCGTATTTCCTGCTGCAGTTCTGCTCTGGTTAAGATAAATTGATCAGTACTATCATGAATCCCTTGTGCACGCAACGGTATGCTTTTGTGCTATCCAACAGTTCACGTTTCTAACTCTTGAGTTACCTTTCATCTAGTTAGTTGAAGATTTGAGCAAATGTATTTCCCCCTTCGTTTTGTTGTGTACCTTTTCGGAGCTCTTTGACAAAAATCTTGCCATTTGTATAATTTTCTTTGTATTTATCTTTGATAGGTCTAAACTTTGAAAAACACCACAACAAGAATTGGGGAAAGAGGGATCATGACTTGCATAAAAGAAAATCTTAAATTAACAAGTCACATTAACCTGAGTACCACAGATGTAACAGCTGTTAGCACGTATGTATACTGCCTACAAACACACATAACCTTGACAGTCTGTACTCAGTTCTGTAGCACAGATATGTACCATATAACAGCAAAAGACATGGAAGAACATCAGTACCAGTAGGCCCATACAAAACAGTAGCATCATGTCATCAGAAGGGCTAGGAAATCTGGTTTTCCCAAAAGATCGTACTGTGCTGAGACAAGACAGGACAAGAAATCCCCATTTTAAAACAATGGTAAAGGCTTGCATCTGCAGTGGGGATTAATCTAACGTGTATCAGGCGGTAGGCTGAATTCATAGAACATGGAAAAATCAGGACTGGAATATTTGTAAGTTCATTGACCTGTGCATAGTCATGTGAAGAAAGGGATAGCAGAGATAGGAAATTAAGCCTCCAGAGGTGGTTGTTATGCTGGTAAGCTGTTGTTTGTAATAAGAAACACTTGAGGCACTGTAGGCACACAGAGTTGGTGAAGGTGACTTTTTTTTTAAGGGTATGGATGTTTGTCGTTGGCCATGGTGCATAGAAGGTTGACCGATGTGCTATTTATAGCACACTTAAAATGCTTATCAAGAAAACTCAAGCTGGGCTGAAAACCAGAAGATCCGTAATAAATCTCCTCAGCTCTTCAGCAACGGAAGAGTGGTAAAAGTAAGAGGTTTTGTCTTGTTTGCAGGTCTGTTTGAGAAGGGGACTGTGAGGGAATGGATTAAGGAAGAG